AGGTAATAAGAGGGTAATGGACCGAATTGGAGCAAAATAGGCCATATATCGCATAAAAAGGGGATCTTTCCATGAAAAATATTCGAGACCAACACGACTTGGTCATGTCCCATGACATAAGTCGTGTTGCCCTTTGGAGCCATCCCCATAGAAGCAAGCCAAGGCTGACATGGTCTAGCCGTGTACCCTAACACTGTCGTGTCAACACCTCAAGCAGTTACAAGTTATTTTCTTTTTGGACGTTGCTGAACTTTTATGATTTCATAACCTACCTAGGCTTTAAGTTACTGAGTTATGACGATTAAGCTCGTGATTATTGCCAATTTATGGTGATTTATGGCTTAGTTTATAGAGGTTGAGGCTTAAAGTAAAAGCATCACTTACTACCTATCATCCATCACTTGTTACTTTTCATTAGTTGTTCGCTCTCAACTTTGTAATTTTCTAAACTTTTGGTTCTTACATTCCTTGTTCAAGTACTCTTGGTATATTTCTTACTTTATTTAATTTAATTAAGTCATTTTAATTTCAACTTATTTGAAGTTTACATTTTATTTTCCATGTCTTTACTTTGTTTATCTTTTTTTTTCATCTCACCATGAGTGAGTAGATCCATAGAGACGTAGGGTCATGAGAGTCTATCTCGTGAAAAACTCCGATTGAATCATCCAATCATAATTACGAGAAATCTAAGTTTGATTAATTTAAAATTTAAATTTTTAACCACGTCTACGTTGGTTGTGAAACAAAGGTAATGTAGATGTCGATCATATATCGAAAGATAGTGATTTGATATCCAAAAGCAAATTACTAAATGATTTAGTTCGAGGTGCCGCTAACAAGGCGACTTGATCTCTATTAAGAAACAATCAAGATGCAGTGTCTCGTGAAAAGGCATAATGCTCTTGATTGAATCATTTAGATGTGCCTGAAATATGTCTAGATGTACATGCTACAAAAGTGGGTTTCACACACAATTATCTAAATTTCTATAAAAATAGCTTAGAGATTCCTGTAATTCAAACACAGGTGAATGTCAGGGTGAGTCTAGATAGATAATCATAACCCCTAGTCATACTTTTAATTATTTGGTTATTTCGTTTAATTTGCACTAGACCAATATAAATGTCAATCGCTTTAGCTAAACATAGTTAGAGTAAAAATTTGGTAATCATACACCTCTTTGTGGGTTTGATCTTTTTGTACTACTTGAAATACCTGTGCACTTACCGTTCACACACATCAGTGACCATCACTAATAACAATGAGAACCATCGAAGAGACAAGAGAAGGGAACTAATTATGGTTCCACGGGGTTTAAAAAATTGTACTATTATTGTTGAAAATTCGAGTTCTAAAGGAGAAGAACACTACAAGGAAGAGGTTGATCATAGGAATCGACAAATTAATCATGACTATTGAATGAAGTCTGATATTCCATTGTTCTAAGGAACGATGGGAGGGGAGGAGTTTCTAGATTAGCATATCAATGTTGATAGATTCTTCCACATCATAGGCGTCCCTGAGAACAAGCAAGTTAAGATGGTGGCGATCAGGCTAAATAGTACTGCTATTGTCTAGTGGGATACTTGTTTCTCATAGGAAGAGGCAAAGAAAAAGGTTGGTTATATCTTAGAGAAGAATGATACAATTGATTCTAGAGCGGTTTATATAGGAGGATTATGAGAAGATTATTTGTAACAGAATACGCAGTTAATTTCTCGTGTTTCTCTAAGCATAACGAACTAAGAGAATCAGAGAGATAAAAGGTAGCTTGATACTTTAGTGGTTTAAAGGGATCTTTGCAGGAGAAGACGGGTTTTCCGGTTGTAAGGATTGTGGATAAGGCATCCATTCTAGATTTAAAGGCATAATTGATGGAGAAATCCCCTTAAAATTTCTCACCTTTTAGGTATTGGCCCCATTATGACTTTGAATCAGTAGGCGACAAGGAACAAAGTGCAGCAACCATGGATTTAAAACCTTGAGAGTGAGGAGACTAGCAGCCCTATCAGAGTCCAGCAGGGTAAAACACTAATCCAGAGGAAGAATTATCCATATGTTAACCCCACTGGAGACACGTGTTATCATTGTAATGGAAGGGGTCAGATATGGGATGTTTGTCAAACAAGGAGACCCGTTGTTATTATGGAAGAAAGGGAAATGGAAGAGGAGGGAATGAGACATGCAATTTAGAACGATGAATATGAAGTGGTTGAGTTTGCAGAGAAAAAACCTGATGCGATGGTAAATTTTGTGTTGTAGAGAATTATACTAGCTTCCATATATGAAGGACAACGTAAGAATTTGTTTAAAACACATTGTTCTATAAAGAGCAAGGTGTGAAATCTGGTTATAGATAGTGGCAACATGGAGAATATGGTGTCACTGAAATTGGTAAATTGTTTGAAGTTTTCTACAGAACCCCGTGAGAAGCCATACATCCTCGGTTTGGTAAGTACATGCTTCAAAGTTCGAGTAACACTAGCGTATAGAGTTCCTATCTCCACCGGAAAGCATTATAGAGTATATGTACTTTGCGGTGTTCTTGATATGGATGTTTATCATAATGATCCGCTTATTGAAGACGGGATAATGTGATGATGTTTACATGCGGCACACATATAATTGTTATGGCTCCTGTTTTGCACTCTGATAATAATTTAGGAGGAAAGAAATCTAGTTTCTTTGTGATGACACTGAATGAAAAAGAGATTGATGAGGCTGTTAAAGGAACTTGATTTTTTTTTCAAGTGATGAGTAAAAGGATGATGAGTAATGTAAAGGAGGAAACAAAAATTCTAGAAGAAGTGTTAGGAATTCTAGAGGAGTTCAAATAATTTACCGCATATGAACTACCAATCAATTTGCCTCCTATGCGAGATAAACACTGAAAATTTAAAGCTTTTAATATGGGAGACAGTGTGATGGTGTTTCTGCGAAAGGAGAGGTTTCCAATTGGTATGTACAACAAGCTGAAGCAACACAAGTATGACCATTTCAAAGTGACCCAAAATATCAACGATAATGTGTATATGGCAGCGCTCTCGAATTTCATGAATATATCCACTACTTTCAATGTCTCCGACATTCATGAATATCAAGCAAATGAGTCTCTTTATAAAGAAGAGAACTCGGGTTCGAGTTCTTCAGAGGTGGAGGAGACTCTTGCAGGAATAATTTTTAAGCTATATGAGTTTGTTTCTGGCCCAAAAATAATATTTTAATATTTTTCTCATTTTTATATTTTATTTATTTATTTTTAGACTAATAGCCCATGAGAGTTTCTTTTTTCTATTTAATTTCTATTTTGTATTAATATCCATGGTTTTTTTTTTTGTATTTAAACACCTTTGGGCGTGACATTCAAGATTATCTTTGATCATAATAAAAACCAAGAGTTTCTTATCTCTTTCTAGTGGATTCCAGAGTTCTATCTGACATAGTTGTCTCTTGCAAACCCATATTTTCATTCTAGGTTTAGAGCTTGTTAATCTGTAGTGTGTCCGATTGCGTCATAAATCCAGTACAATTCACCCCCTTTTATGTTTGGAGTCCCATGCCCGACATTTTGAACATCCTAGGCCAAGGGTTACATAATTGTTCCCCATAGACCAAAATTAATACATACTTATGATCTCTCATCTAAAACATCTCGCGTCGTTCTTGAGATTTGTAATCTTGGTCTCTCCTAAAGCATATCGCTCATAGAGGTCTCGTGCTTGAGGATTTGTGTACATCCTGATCTCTCCCCTAAAGCATCTCACCCCTATAGACCTCATGCTTGAGGGAAAGTGTACTTCCTGGTCTCTCCTCTAAAGCAACTCGTCCCAATAGTCCATATGCCTGAGGGGTTGGGTACATCCCAATATTTTACCTAAAATAATATGGATTTAACTCAAATTTGGATGTGATACAACCCACACCACCGTGGTTCATTCACAAAAAAGGCTAGGTCGGATCACTCTTTATGAGCCAGGACCAGAAGGTCGGCCGAAGATCGAATACACCTCTCTCTTGAGAATTATCCATACCATGTATAGGCAAGACACTTTAAGCCATTAAATAGTCTTAAAAGCCTTTCTCATAGAGGGGAACCGAAGTTTTTATCTTCCTTTATTGCTTTCAGCTAGACAATTAAACATATATTGTAATAACAATTAAATCAACATAAATGACTCAAGGTAGGGAATGCTATATAAACTTTTTCCATATGAAAAACATTGAGATAAATATTGCGAATGTGAGTGGCCTAACATCAATATTATTATTAAATACTCTCTTCATCCTATAATGAGTAACTCATAGGTAAAAAAAGATTCTCAAAAAAAATCACCCATTTCAATTTCCAATGCAAATTGATTCTTTTATTCCAATTATATCATTCTATTACTACTATTTTCATCTCTCAATAGTTGATAATGACACTTCGTAAATTAGCTTACATTTTCGGTGAAATTGTCAATTGAGTTGAGTTTTCAAATGTCAATTAAATCAAAATCATTATTCAATATTGATTTAATGAAATGAGAATGATAATAATTAAACTTAAAACGTGCTATTTATAGGAGCACAATTTTTGGAGCTTTAGGAATTTATTTTGGATAGTGGATAACCATAATCCATGCAATATAATTAATTTATAAATACAATTATGTAATCCATATGCGAGAGAATAAAATTATATTTCAAAAGAATGACGCGTTATGTTTCCTTTTATAATGTATCTGTTCCTTGAACTTAATGATTTGTCTTGCATTAGATGGTCAAGGAGATGGTGAGGAAAGAAATTAAAAATTGAAAACGCATAACGAGTTTGTTGTTAGGTTCTTTTAATTTGTGAAATTAAAATTCGACTATATTTTGTAGGAAAAAGATGTTATCAATAAGTAAAGGATCTTAATACATGGTAGCTCCTGAATTTTCTGCATGAGTTAATTTGGAGTAGAAATTTTGTTAATACTAATACTAGGAGACTAATGTAAGCTAGTACTCAAAGTTTATGCAGCTGGAGCATAGTCATAATCACCATCATCATCGTCATCACCTTCTCTGTATGCATTTAGTTCGGAATCAGAGTCTCCATCCCCGTTGTTGTAATCTTCTTCAATGCAAGCTTCCGATGTATAACAAAACCATTCATCTTCATTGTATGACTTCTTAATGCTCTTTGTAGTGATGATGGCCATTGAAATGTGAGAAAGAAGAAAAGTGAGTAGTGTGAGTTGTGTTTGAACTAAGTTAAGAGAGTTGGTGTTTATATAACAAGAAGAGAAGTTGTTGGAGTTGTTTTCCCACGAGCAAAACCACGGAGGGAGTGTGGATTTGGGATTAAGGTGTGAGCAACGCATGGTGGCTACATGTTGGAACCAGTCTTGCGCGGCCACATTGCCAATTCTCTTTACAAATCAGCATAAAAGCTTGAAAAACAACAAGGAATCAAGAATGGATGCATAGTGGTTGAGACATATAAAGTGGGACGCCAAGTTGTTCCATTCATTTTGTTTAGTCAATGCTCTTTATGTGTCAGTTATTCGAATCTAGAAACCAATGACGCGGCAACCAGAGTTACAATTTTGGTGCGATTATAATATTAGAATGAATTAATTGACCGTCTTATGTGTATAGGGGTGGCCGGGTGGACAAAAGAACAAATGTGTTTGGAACTGTTTATAAGGATTTTGGCTAATGATAAATCAATTAAGGAAGGTGTAATGAGACAAAGTAAAAAGAAAGGACTAGAGCAAGCTGTGTGTCAGCAAGAATTGAGCTGCGGGGCCTCCAAGAGATACGCGAAGATCATTCTGTTAGGTTGGATTCGGAATTGCAGGGAACGCGTAGGAGCAATCGAATGCGCAAGACCAATAACAATTTGAGGAATTTCGTGACTAGCTGAGGAATATATATATATATATATATATATATATATATATATATATATATATATATATATATATATATATATATATATATAGAGAGAGAGAGAGAGAGAGAGAGAGAGAGAGAGAGAGAGAGAGAGAGAGAGAGAGAGAGAGAGAGAGAGAGAGAGAGAGAGAGAGAGAGAGAGAGAGAGAGAGAGAGAGAGAGAGAGAGAGAGAGAGAGAGAGAGAGAGAGAGAGAGAGAGCAGTAGGAATCAATTTCTTTCCTATGTGAATTGTGAAGTTTATTTACTTTCTCTCTCCAAACTCTCTTTTTCACATCTTGTATTAATCCCTCTCTTAAGAGGTTGATATTCTCAGTTTAGTATCAATTTTCCCCTATTACTCTTTCAATTTTGTATCTGTTTCGCTGGTGCTTTCATCTTCACCATGGCAGATTCGAAATCCAAAGAGATGGACATAGAAATCAAGCGCAATGCGGAAGCTTTGAAACAACTTCAGGAGTATCTTTATGAACGCATGGAACGATTCTCCAAAGACATCAAGTGCGCTTGGACTTGGGCCATAGGTATATTAACAAAACCCGGACAAAGCTGATTTCGTCAGAGGCATCAAGTATGCTTAGACTTCGGCCAGAGGTATATTAATAAAGTCTGGACAAAGATGATTTTTCCATAGGCATCTGATGACACGAAATCATATAGATATTTTCATGCATAATTCAACTAAAGTCTAACCGTTTTCGATCCGATTTCGGGTTATTTCCGTGTATTTGTCTGATGTTTTTGCAGGTATTCAACGATCACGTCTAAACAAGGCAACATGAAGAAAAGAAGCAATCTCAGATGAAATATGGACGAAAAAGGAGTGAAAACACAATGAAAAACGCAGCAGGCTGTTTTTGCTGATGTGACGACCGTCACAGCTTCATGACGACCGTCACACCTTGTGACGACCGTCATGCAGGCAAAAACGCCCCACTCAGATTACACGTCAAAAGAGCAGTTCCAATTCCCACAGAGTGGACCACTACTCCCTAAATTATCTGCCTCAAGGTCCATCATCTTCAGAGATAACTGTTGGGATTCCACTTCTATAAAAGGGGAAGCAGGGGACTTCAGAAAGTGTGTTGCATTCATACCACGAAGTGCTGCCGAATTTACTTTCCAGAGCAATTACTTTCCAGTTTTATTTGTATTCATTTCTCTTTGATTCCCATTTCCGCTCTTCTGTAATTTCCATTTTATCGTACGATCAAATTGGCACTAAAGACCAGAATCCTGCCAACATCTGTGGAGGATCTGCCCAAAGGCCAATTGGCATATTTACAGGTTTTCATTTTGATCGACTTCAGTCTTATTATAATGCAAATTATTATTTATTATTCTTATTTATATTTTATTTTTCCCAATTCCATGTCTAGCTAAACTTAGGTAATCGATATGTAGTAATAATTCGAATTGGATTTGATAACACTTGGTTGAAAACTTTCTTTTCACAAAAGTAATCTATGGTCTGAGTGTTTAAAATTGATTCACTGAATAGACTTCGTCTCGAAAGCGAGAACTTATTTAAAAGTAGTTTTGCCACGAAAGTGGGAAATTAATTAAGATACGAACCAACAAGCGAAAGTTGCGGTAAGGTCAGATAGTAAACACTAGGCATTTGTTTTAATAACAGCGAAAGCACTTTAAAACGAATTAGAATCTAGAGATTTCCAAAAAATAATTTTAACCCCGAACGGAATACGAAAGTATACGTTTGGCCCTTAGGATTATAATTAGCGTCAATAACCATCGTGAGGCGAGAGTTTTCAAATCTCCATTTTCTGCTTGAATAAACTTTGAAAATTATTTCATACATCATAACTTATCAAATCCCTGAAGAACACAATTACTACGTATCGATTTAATCAATTATAATCTAAATAGTATTATTAGTTCCCTTTTAGTGACAAATCTTATTCCCTTAAACATATTCTACCTAGCTAAACATAGTAACTCCCGAGAACACTAGTTTGATTACGAGTCCCTGTGGGATCGATATCTATTATTACTACGCGATAGACTGTGCACTTGCAGTTAGTTGTATTAGACATAGAAAGTCGCGATCAAGTTTTTGGCGCCGTTGCCGGGGACCCGTTTAGTCAATAGTGTAACCTTCTGTTACGCTGTATAGACTAGGTTAACAATTTTCATTTTTCCTTTACTAGTTCTGTCGATTGTATGCCAAGAAATCGCCCGCAAGGCGATATCGTAAAACCTTCGGTCGCAGAACTAGAACGCTTCTTACATTTAAGAAGTAGAATCATTGAGTACCAACTCAAACATAACACTCCCGAACCTCTCACTCCCATTCCCAAATCAGAAGAAGAAGAACCAGATATGGCTGAAGGACCTCCGAACAAACCGCTGAAGGCATACGCTACACCATCTCAGATGGAGCCTAGAAGTAGCATTGCTGCCCCAGCTATTACCCGAAATGATTTTGAGCTGAAACCATCATTGCTGTCGGCTGTACAACAAAACCAATTCTCAGGAAACGCAACTGAGGATCCGAACGAACATCTAACGAAGTTTGTACAATACGCAGACACAGTGAAAGCAAATGGAGTAACTCCAGACGCGATAAGACTTCGTCTTTTCCCATTCTCTCTTAGAGACAGAGCGTGGACATGGTTACAATCGTTACCATCCAACTCCGTTACGACGTGGGAGCAATTGAAGAACGTCTTCTTAGCGAGATATTTTCCGCCAAGAAAAACTGTTATGCTTAGAGCTCAAATCAACGGATTTCGACAGAAAGATACTGAATCTCTTTACGAAGCATGGGAACGATTCAAAGATATGATGAGAACATGTCCTCACCACGGTCTAGAAGACTAGGTGACAATCCATACTTTCTATAATGGGCTTCTATACAATACTAGATTGACAATAGACGCTGCCGCGGGCGGTGCACTTATGGATAAGCCATACGATGAAGCCTATCAATTAATAGAAAACATGTCACAAAACCATTGCCAATGGGGAGGTGACCGCACTCCAAATGAGAAAACTACAGCGAAAGGTGGGATGTACGAAATCAGCAGCCTTGAAAAGTTCAATGCTAAAGTAGATGCTCTAGCACAGAAGATTGATAGTCTGACCGTTAACCCCATTGCAACTGTCGCTGCAGTAACTCCAAATTGCGAGTTATGCGGAAGCACCACTCATAATGCACCCGAATGCCCATTGCTAGCCGGAATCCCGCCAGACCAGGTAAATTATGCTCAAGGAAATCCCTACGCAAATACCTACAACCCAGGTTGGCGAAATCATCCAAACTTTTCTTACAAAAGCGAAAATGCATTGCAAATGCCTACTGCTCCGCAAGGATATCAGAAACCAGCTGCTCAGAATGCACCTAGGAAATCAAACCTCGAATTGATGATGGAAAAGTTCATAGCTACTCAAGCTCAGACAAACAAAGAGTTCCTAAATCAAAACATACACACTAGCGAGCAAATTAAACAGTTGATAGGAAAAGTAGACGCTTTAGCCACCCACAACAAAATGTTAGAAACTCAGATATCACAAGTGGCTCAACAGCAAGCATCTGCTGCCGCACCTGCTGGCACATTTCCTGGACAACCCGAACAGAATCCAAAAGGCCAAGCAAATGTTGTGATACTAAGAAGTGGAAAAGAATTGGATGAACCGATCGATCCGAGGACCGAAAACTCAGCCATGCAACATAAACCAACTGAACAAGCAGAAAAGGAATCTGAGTTAGAGAAGAAGGAGGACAACGAGAAGGAGGATACCGCAAGTGAAAAAACTCAAGCACCTCCAGCACCATATAAACCACCTATTCCTTATCCGCAAAGACTAATAAACTCTAAAACTTCAGGACAGTTTAAGAAATTTGTAGAGCTCCTTAAACAGCTGAATACTACTATTCCTTTTACAGAAGCAATAACTCAAATGCCGTCATACGCTAAATTTCTCAAAGAGATCTTGTCGAATAAGAGAAAGATCGAGGATAATGAAACAGTTACACTTACTGCAGAGTGTAGCGCTATTATTCAAAACCGCATGCCTCCTAAATTAAAAGACCCAGGTAGTTTCTCCATACCCTGCGTCATAGGAAAGTTCGTAATAGATAAAGCTCTATGCGATTTAGGAGCTAGTATCAGTGTTATGCCCTTATCTATATGCAAAAAGCTGAATATGGGAGACCTCGGACCAACCAAAATGTCCGTACAATTAGCTGACAGATCAGTGAAATACCCAGTCGGAATACTGGAAAATGTTCCAGTACGCATAGG